ACCCATTCCTGTCCATTTTAGTTCACTGATTCCTAAGATGTCGATGTTCAGTCTTGTCATCTCTTGTTTGACCACATCCAGCTTGATTCATGGATCTTACATTCCAGGTTCCTATGGAATATAGACCTTTGCAGCATCAGACTCTCTTTTCATCACTAGGTACATCTGCAACTAAGTGTCCTTTCGGCTTTGACCCAGTCGCTTCATTCCTTCTGGTGCTACTAGTACTAGCCCTCCGCTCTTCCCCAGTAGCATATTGGACACCTTCCAACCTGAGGGGATCATCTTCCGGCGACATATCTTTTTGCCTTTTGGTACTGTCCATGGGGTTTTCATGGCAAAGATACCGGAGTGGGTTGCCATTTCCTTCTCCAGTGGATCATGTTTTGCCAGAGCATTCTGCTATGACCTGTCCGTCTTGGGTGGCCTTGCACAGCATAGCTCATAGCTTCATTGAGCTATGTAAGCCCCTTCGCCACGACATGGCAGTGATCCATGAAGGAGTTAAATTAAAATAACTCCTACTTTTTAAACTCCTAATTAAAATAACTTTTAATAGCTAATTAAAATAACCAACAATTAAAATGTTCTTTAAATCAAAATGACTTAGTGTGGTGCCAGAATATGTGCAAGGATGGTGCTTGACAAAGGGAAGTCGATTCCATAGATGGAGCGCCACAAGGGAGAAGGCCCTGTCCCTGGTAGCCATCCTCACAGCTTCTTTTATAAATGCCTCTCAAAGCAGGACCTCTAATGATGATCTCAGGGTCTGGTTAGGCTACTATGGATGGAGACATTATTTCAGACATTCAGGTCCTAAACCATTTAAGGTTTTATACATCAAAATGAGCACCATGAAGCAGGCCTGGACATCACTGGACAACCAGTGTAATTCATAGAATACCTGTGTAATATGTTTGGTATTACCAGTCCCCATCAGCAGCCTAGCTGCTCTATTTTGTACCAACTGTAACTTCCAGATCATTTTCAAAGGCAGACCAATGTAGATCACATTACAGAGGTTACCAGGGTGTAGATTACTGTTGCTAGGTCCTGCCTGTCCAGCTATGGTCAACTTTGTTGAATTAATTGGAGCTGATAGAAGGCATTCCTGGTCACTGAGCCAACCTAGTGTTCCAGGGACAGCTCAGGGTCTAGAAGCACCCCCAAGCTCTGCACCCTGTCCTGTAGAAGGACTGCAACCCCATCCAAGACAGGGCAGATATCCCCCATCTGGACATGGGAGCCACCTACCAACAAAACTTCTGTCTTGTCTGGGTTAAGTTTCAGTTTGCTGGCTCTTATCCAGCCCATCATCCCAGCCAGACACTGGTTTAGGACCTTACCTCGTTCAAAGAAAATGAGAGATAGAGCGGAATATCATCAGCATACTGATGACACTTCAGCCCAATCCCCCTGACTACCTCTCCAATGCCTTCATGTAAATGTCGAAAAGCATGGTGGATAAAATGGAACCCTATAGTGCTCCATGACATACTTACCATGGTGAGAGCTACATCCCCCCAGCAACACCATCTGGAATTGGTTAGCCAGGTAAGAATGGAACCATTGCAGGGCAGTGTCTCCAACTCCCAACCCAGCCAGCCTATCCAGAAGAATAACATGGTTGATGGTATCAAATGCCACTGAAAGGTCTAGAGGAACCAACAGATATGCATTCCGCTGTCATTCTCATGACAAAGGTCATCCCACAGGGTGACCATGTCAGTTTCCATTCCATAACCAGGCCTAAAACCTGATTAAAATGGGTCCAGATACTCAGTTTCTTCCAAGAGCACCTGGAGTTGTCCAGCCACCACCCACTCAAGCACCCTGCCCAGGAACGAGATATTGGTTACTAGCCTAAAATTATCCTTCAGATAAGAATTCACTATTTCCTGAATCCAGACGTGTGTTCTTTCCTTAGACTGAATGACCAGTCAACTTGGGCAAGGGTCAAGTAAACTGGTGGTAGACCAGTCTTGTTCACTTCATCAGGCATTAATAACTGAAACTAATCCAATAAAGTAGAACCAGAACGTGCCTCTACCCAAAGAACTATGTTTAATGTAGAGTCCAATTCATGTTGAATATGAGTGATTTTGCCCTTGAAATGCTGTGCAAAACTCTCACAACAATTGCTATCTGGTCAATTTTGAGGGTCAACTATAACGCTATAAATCACACAGAGCAGCTTCACTGGGCAGCTTTCAGACGATACAATGCTGGTGGAAAAGAAGGCTCTTTTTGCCACCTTCACTGTCAAACAGTAAGCTTGATAATAAGCTTTCAAATGTGTCCGATCAGATTCCACATGGGTTCTCTTCCACCTGTGCTCTATCTGTTCATCCACCTGCTTTATCACCCACAACTCAGTATTGTACCAAGAAGCTGATAGGTCTCTGCCTAGTGGGACAGGGCATTTAGGTGCGATCGTGTCAACCAACTGGGCCACCTCCATATTCCATAACATGGCCAGGGCTTCGACAGGAGCATTGACTATATGAACTGGAAAATACCCCAAGGCCCTCTGGAAGCCACCTGGATCCATTAGGCATCAGGGGCAGACCATCTTAATAGCTCCCCCCACCCATGCAGAGGGAAGAAGATGCTGCAAGACTAAACCTCCCAAGGAAGTGATGTGACCATGATAAAGGGATTAGGCTGAGATAGTTTGGGATAGACAATAGGCTGGGACCACATTCAAGTATACTCGCCTGTGTGCTCTCTAAGTTCATCAACAGAAACCCTAATGATTTGCTACTGGCCAAGGCAGCACAAGGGAGAGAAGCTTACCAGTGGTGGTCCACTGTTGTATTACTCTTATGCAGAAGGCAAATAGCTTGTGAGCCAATGACCACCCTATTGTTTCACAGGCACAACAATACTCCTTCTTAAAAAGAAAAGGCCATCTTCATTCTTTCATTTTTGAATTTATTCAACTGCATGCCTTCTCAACCCTTAAATTCTGAGAACAGCAGCATGCTTTTGGCTCTGGCCTCTTGGCAGAGCAGCAGAGCAGTAGAGGCACAGGCTGGGAGAGAGTGCTGAGTGGCCAGGGGACTGGCGAAGGCAAGGTAGGAGCTGGGCAGGGGAGCAGAGAGGAAGGGGGGTGGGCCAGAGAGGCTAGAGCAGCCTGGAGGAAGCGTACAGGCGGGGCCACCGGCCTGAGGGACTGATAAGGCCGCACTCAGCCACTGCAAGCTCTTTTGGCTCTGGCCTCTTGGCAGAGAAGCAGAGCAGCAGAGGCACAGGCTGGGAGCGAGTGCTGAGTGGCCAGGGGACTGGCGAAGGCAAGGTAGGAGCTGGGCAGGGGAGCAGAGGGCCAGGAGCAGCACAGAGGAAGAGGGGCGGGCCAGAGCGGCTAGAGGAGCCAGGAGGCGGGGCCACTGGCCTGAGGGACTGATAAGGCGTCGTCCCTTGTCTGCGTCCCTTAGCTGTGGCCCGGGCTGTCCAGAGACTCCCTTCCCTGAGACACAGAGGTGTGATTGTTTGTTTGTTTTGTTGATTTTGTTTGTTTGGTTGGTTTTGTTTTGTTTTGTTTTGTTTGTGCTGTGCTGTGCTGTGCTTTGTTTTTCTTCCAATCTAAATTTAAGTTTATTTTATCCTTGTGTGTGTGTGTGAGTGGGTGTTTGTCTTGGAGAACTGGGTGAGTGAGAGGAACTGCAGGACAAACAAGGCAGAGGACCAAGGTAAGGTCTCAGAAGGGATACCGATGGCAGACCAGGAGATGGCCTTGGCGGGAGTCACGGTTGTTGCTGCATGCTACGAGATCTGCAACATGTTCGCCCTTCTCCCCCAGGAGAGGCAGGGATACACTTGCCCTCAGTGCAAGATGGTGACCCTGCTAGAAGAGGAGGTGAGGTGCCTGAGGGCCGAGACAGCTCTCCAGGCACCCCCCAGAGCAGCCTCCCCCTGGACAGAGGGTTGAGGGAGAGACCACGGGAGGAGCAGCTGAGGAGACATGGAGGTATGTCACTCACAGGAGGAGGAGGCCAGCACAGCCTCCTCCTTCTCCTGGCACCAACCTGGAGCTGGGAAACAGGTTCTCTCCACTTGGGGAGGCTGGGGCTGATGAGGCCTCGGGGGACCAGCAGGACCCCCAGCCCGGGATGTCAGGCAGCAAGGGGGCCGCTGCAGGAGAGGCGAGGGCCAGGCACAGCGGCCCACCAGCACCGGGAAGGTACGATGGCGGGTGATTG